TGCATACAATTTCAATAAATTAGTTAAGAAAAACTTTTTCAAAAGTACTTACCACATAAGAGAACTGACCAGATGAGACCCCGCTGTAAGTCACTTGATCATTTCCAATGGTTATTGACACAGATCCTGATTTAATATTATTGCTAGGGCTAGTGAGACATTGTACTCTGTTAAGAACAAAATAGGATTGTTACCATACATGTACCAGAAAAGCTAATAAAGCTACATGCATACATAAGCCTGACACAGTTGAATACGTCATGAATAATGCAGGCCTAAATAACACAAAACATTTCACTTATTATGAATTTATTTCTTATAATTAAATGTATATCAATATTGTACATTATTGATAAAAATTAAGCAATGAAATAATTATGAATTTCCATAAACTTACTGTTCTGCAGTCCTATAGCCATCGGACTGTGGTATACATTCTAGTCCAGCAACGTCAATTTGTTTAACATTAGAAGAATTCTTTCCCAAATTATACCCCATGATTGTCAGCCTAGTGCCTCCCTCAATAGGACCCGCTTCTGGTTTAATCTGCAAGGCAATAATCGTTACTACCGTATATATAAGGAATACATGTACATTGTAATAAATACACAATACATTATGTAAGAAATTTTAGTAAATATTTCAACTATCATTCAGGAGTATTACCAGGTATAGACATAATTCAAGCCCCTCAAAATCACTACTGTGATTCTACTTTGGGTCCCAAACTAGATTCTTATGGTGAGGGGCAGGAGAAACTTAATCATGATCTTGTTTGTTTCAGTTATTTTTTGTTATGAGTGAGTTCTTTAATTTACAGTTTCATACTACTATTATTTTACAATCAAGTACAAGCAGCCTGTAGGCTGAGATAGCTCCGCTGTTAGCAATGCACATTTCAATTAAAGAACTGAAGATATCACTAGAAAATAAACAATATGTATAGTATCAAAGCAATCAGACTTGCTGTTTTCAACAATAATTCGAAAATATAACTTTTTACCAAAAATTACAAAACAAGCAGCCTATCGGCTGAGATACATTAGCTCCGCTGTTAGCAATGCACATTTCAATTAAAGAACTGAAGACATCATTAGAAAATGAACAATATGCATGTATAGTACAAAGCAATCGGAAAATATCATTTTCTACCAAAAATGACAAAAATATTCAAAATTAGAGAATTTAAGATATCATCACGAAATGAACAAATCTGAGAAAAGTCTACATGTAGTATCTATATACGTAATATCAAAGCAATTGAACTATTGGTTTTTAACAAGAAGTCGAAAATATCACTTTTTACCAAAAATTACAAAAATATTCACCAAACTTAGAGAATTGAAGACATCATCACAAAATGAACAAATCTGAGAGAGGTACACATGTAGTACCTATATATGTAATATGAAAGCAATTGGACTTGCGGTTTCTAACAAGAAGTCAAAAATATCATTTTTTACAAAAAATGACAAAAATATTCACCAAAATTAGAGAATTGAAGATATCATTACAAAATGAACAAATGTGAGAGAGGTCCACATATAGTACCTATATATTTAATAACAAAGCAATTGAACTTGCGGTTTTTAACAAGAAGTCGAAAATATCACTTTTTACCAAAAATGACAAAAATATTCACCAAAATTAGAGAATTAAATATATCATCACGAAATGAACAAACCTGAGAGAGGTCCACATTTAGTACCAATATATATAATATCAAAGCAATTGGACTTGCGGTTTTTAACAAGAAGTCGAAAATATCACTTTTTACCAAAAATAACAAAAATATTCACCAAAATTAGGGAATTGAAGATATCATCGTGAAATGAACAAATCTGAGGAAGGTCTACCCAAGGTACATATACACAAAGTATCAAAGCATTCAGGCTTGTAGTTTTCAAGAAGAAGTCGAAAAAGTAAAACATTGACACTGACGACGGAAATCACTCATATGATAAGCTCCGCTCGACAAAGTCGACAGCGGAGCTAAAAAGAGTGTCATCATAGCATCTCAGGACCAGAAAAGGGTAAAGCTATACGTAAATTGTATGTAAAACATATGCAAATTGTATGTAAAATATATTGCTAAACCACAGTTAGTACCGGTAGAATCACTGCAACTTGCAATGACATCACCAATAATATTTTTATTTCAGATTTTTTAAAAAAATTAGAACCAAATTTATAAAAGACTAAAAAAAAAACAGACTTACTTTATCAATGGTTGGATTAGGACATATCTCTTCCCTTGTCAACCAAGAATTGATTGGATTGCATTTATTGACCACTGTACATTTCTGTTCATTTACACTATTACACCAACCACATTGGTATTTCAACTCGGCTTGATGACAAACTCCACAATTAGGACGACCAACGTCACACTTATACAGATTAACTGGAAGAAAATCAAATAAAAAACTCTCAATACATATTTAATATAACACTTATTCTCATACATGTGTGATTAAATTTATTATCAAATTTGAAATAAATGGTCCTCTCTCACAGACTTTCTGTTTTGCAGCACCCTCTCTGGTGCAAGTGGGATATTTACAAATTCTCACCTTTGACATTATCAGGGTTGTCAATTTCAAAATCATTGTTCCATTTCAACTGCAAGGAGACCAATTTACTGCTTACATCTTCTGAATACATGTACTGCAAATAAACATTATTGTAGAAGGTCAAAACATTTCTGTCTATTTACCTAAGTACCGGTAGTACTTTTAAATAGGAATGTTAGTAAAGTATAATAAAATACATGCTACAATATTGTGCATAATAAATGGTAAATCAGTAAACTCTGTGTGTCACAATATACCTTGGAACTTTGGCATTTAATACTCTCTGTACTTTCTCGTTCTCCTGTGACAGTGACTTCCACCCCTTCTATATGTAGAATACAGTCATACCCAGTCTGGCCATCCTATTGCGATAACAGGTAAACATTACAATGTACATGCAAGACAAACAATTCCAAAGATCAAAATCAAAATTTGTTATTAAAATTGGCATGAATTAAAGAATTCAGTTTACTTGAAAACTGAATTGAATAAAATTACTTTAAAACATTCAAATTCATGAGAGTAACTTACTGAAGGTTGTGGAAAATTCACTCCAACAACATAGAACTCTTGAGACAAGTCAACAGGTATTAACGTTTCAGCACCTTCCTTAATTTGTGGACATTGCTGGGAACTATTAGCTTCAATCTGTAAAATGAAAGAATGGATATTTCAAAATATTACTTTTTGACCTAAAAACAATACTTAACAGGTACAAAATGTACAGATCCAAAAATAAATTGACATCCATCTATTTGCTTCAGAATATACTTCTATAATGATTACACTTGAGAAAAATAGTCAAAGCAAATGACAACCAAAGACATTTGATAGTGGATATAATCAGATAAGAATAGAAGAGATAATTACTGAGCCAAATGAGGTCATTACATATGTCCCAAATATGTTAATTTTTATAATACCCAGTCAACCACTTACAACCACTTGTATTTCACAAAATAAATGTTTTGATCATGTGGACAGTTCTAATTCTCATTAATCATAATGCATTCTGGGATGCAATTGGTTAAGACTACATTTAATTGATATGCAAGGCATGGGACGGCTTTAAAATGTACATAAATCATAAGAGTTTGCTTCTTGTGAGATCTTCCTCAATGTACATTGTTATGAAATTTGCATACCATGATTTTAAAATAGTTGGGTTATACCTAATATCATGTGACTAGCAATGCAACATGGGTAACAATTAACAAGGAAAACTTGTACTTACTGCATCTCCTTTGATTATGCCATTCTCTATACAGGAACTGACATCTTTAGAACATTTATTTTCAAAAACACACCAGTCACATCCATAGTTGTTTTTTGTACAGGTCATGCATGTCTTGAATGATTCACAATCATAAAAATCAAAATCCGTACTGACAAATTTTTCATTTGTTTCTTTTGATAATAATGATAATTTCACTCTGACATAACCTGAAAACAATAAAACATAGTTGAACTCTGGTGACCTTGCCCTTTGTTATATAATATTATTCCCTTTATCATAGTTTGTTTCAATATGAATATGCATTGTTATGTTTCGGGGTTGAAACAACAGTTGGAAAGCAGTCTACCGAATGTCCTTGATAGATGTAAATATCATACAAAAACATTTGTGCCTAATTTGTTTAATTATTTTAAGGGACATAATTTCAAGCTTTATTCAAAGTAATTCTGTTATTTTAGTATAAAAACAAATGTCTCATCTCAGCTGCATTTAGATGTGAATAGATTCATAAAACATGCAAGATAACAGAAAATTTTAGCTGGCTTTTGTCCAAGTATTTTGTATAGGTGTATGTCAAAAATCAATGATTCACTGAGACAAATATGAACTGCCTTATTGTATTCATTGTGTGACTACTGTATTACTTGAAAAGTAAAAAAACGGCCTCTATAAATAGCTATCATGTTGAAAGCTCTGCTTTGTATGCAAATCAACTTAAATTGTTAGTTGGTGTCCAGTGGAGGGAGAAGTCAACAGTACTATTGCCTACTGAGAATCTACATCTTCAAACACTGCAATCTTTGTTTTTGAAATGTGTCTTTAAATTAGTATTATAAAAATTCCTGTCAAATACAGAATACATATTTTTGAGTACAATTTACTTTAATGTATTTGTTATCTATTGCATGTCGACAACTTTGGACTAGATAGATTTTCTATTAACTTCATAGGGAGTGTTTATATTGATTATTTGACTTCTTGTTTTCTGTGAAGATTTTATTGGTAGGTTTGCAAATGTGTATCAGACTGTGCAAAAACTCTCTCTATGAGTTGGTTTTGAAACCTAGTCTAGTATTCCCATGGGATTTGGGAAATACATTACCGAGGATATTATTACAAGATAAATGATTTGCTTTATTAAACACATACAACAATGCATATTTCCACTGAGATCGTACCCTTTGATATTTAATCACCAGTAATCAGTCAAGTAGAAACAGTCAAATTATTTTATTAGATTTTCTATTGTTCATACTCGGGAAAGACTTTATATTGATGAATAAGGTGACCAAGTTTGATGAAGTTTGGAAAAGAATTAGAAAAGTTATTATGCATACAATAACAATTAGTAATGATGACAACGATGACAACAACAACAACAACAACAACGACGACGACGACGACGACGACAACAACGCAGGTCAAAAATCTTTTCCTCAATATACCTTTCACTTCCATCGTTGATGTTACGGGCAAGGTAAAAATGGGTTACAATATACAATACAAAGACTATTATTCAAAATAAATGCATAATGATATCAATGCAATATTCATTTTTTTCAGCCATTCTACAAAATTAAAACATAAACTTTACCTCTGTTTCCAGGTGGTGGTATATTACTGGGTGGAGGAGTTGTACAAGTCAGCACATTACTTTCATCAGCTGCATCAGCATCTGTTGTACCAAGACTATCAAATACACATTTATATCCATTCCGAGAATGTGGTAAACTGGTTACTGTTAGTGTCAACTGCAAAAAAAAAAAATACAAATGACCTTAAAAAATAAGAAGTGTAAGCAACACTACTAATACTATGTTTCTAAAAACAGGTGTCATTTGTATACCTCTTGTCTTTCTAACAACAATTGATCAATATCTATCGAATTCTGCCGTAAATTCGTGATTTTTCAAAAATTTTTTAGGGTGTTATTTTAATCTTTTCTGATGCCTAAATATTTCAGCGTAGTCATTGACACCTATCAAGAGCATGATGTATATTGCGACTAGCGTGAATGGGTAAGCTTTGTTTCGACAATGAGCTGTTATCACTGTAAACAATGTTAAATTACTCTTCAAATGCTCAGTTTATTTTATATTTTTTTTATTCAAAAACTAGTAGCTTCACGGTAAGTGGCTTTCGCGATAAGTGGGTTTCGTATTGGGTGGGTCTTGCGAGGAATATGGCTTTGTCGCAGTAACTGGTCCTTTCATCGTTGTTGAGAATTAAAGTTTTATGTTTCTTTAACAACTTGCGCTATTCTGGGAATACCAACCTTAGAAGCTATTAATTTGCCTTCATGGTTTGTAAAGTTGCTCTGGCAGGAGTTTCAAAATAAAACCCATGCTTACATTACATTATCATTATGATCTTATTGGTGTAAAATTGAAAGAAATTCCGTCAGTAACACTTCTCAAGGGCGTATTTCACGGTCAATGTTATTTACGAAAATATTTGTTTATAATTTTATAAATTGGCTTGGCAATTCCCACCCCAATTAGTTATAATGTGTACATGTTTTAATAAATAAAATTAAAGATACACTAACAAAAATGAAATATTAATTATTTCATTATATAACCTGTACAAAATTAATCAATATTTTTCCTTGCTAGAATGATGTGGGAATCCTGATAAAGTTCACAGCTGGCGATTTAGCAATACCCGTATCAGGGATAGTCAACTTCTTGTGATTTTGATTACATAACGTTTTTAGGTTCATGTGCTGCAAGTTACAGAGCTTGTACCTAACGGCCGTTCCTCTGCAAACAATTAAGCCAAGGCAAGGCAATTCTCTGTTTTTACGCAATCTGGGAAGTTCAAATTACTAAATGAAGTACAGGACGACGAAGCTGAACTATCCAAGAACCAACACATACCAAAAATCAAAATCTAAAAAGTGAATATTTGACAGGTAGAAAAACTGATTTTTGAATACTTTCGCTCCAAATTTATTACCTCCTACCAGTTTTGTAATAGCAGTGTTCAAATGATCATACTTTTTATTTTGGCTACTTTTCGCATTGGTGCCGACATTGTTACACTGTATCAACGTAATCCCAACGCAACTTTGAACTTTGAATGAACTGTAAATGCTGCCTTCATTCAAGGAAATACTAAACGGTTGGAAATAATAAATATAACAGCAGAATAGGTCCAAGCAATAAACTAAGTGACTTCTAAAGACTGAATGGTTTTTGCAAACTTTGTATACGGGCCCATTTTCATTACCGAGAAAATTGACCCCAAAGTTGGGTTGACTTTTCACCAGCAACAGCTTTTAACTCCCGAGATTTTTTTTGGCTTGGCTGATTTTGTTCATATTTGACAGGTAGGTCGTACCGTCACTGATTGGAAAAAAATTCTGTCCCACCACTGCTATGGCAACAGCCACAAACTGATTTTTGAATACTTTCCTCCCAAATTTATTACCTCCTACCAGTTTTGTAATAGCAGTGTTCAAATGATCATGCTTTTTATTTTGGCTACTTTGCGCACTGGTAAGAGATCACAGGTGCTGACACTGTATCAACGTAATCCCAATGCAACTTTGAGCTTTGAATGAACTGTAAATGCTGCCTTTATTCTAGAAAATACTGAACGGTTGGAAATAATAAATGTAACACAGCAGAATACGTTCTACCTAGTAATAAACTAAGTGACTTCTAAAGACTGAATGGTTTTTGCGAACTTCGTATACGGTACCCATTTGGTTAAAAACTTACGTTATAGCTTCACGTTCATGTTCATGTCATGTTCTCAGTGTCTGACTGTTATATACAGCCCAGAACATGTCAGAATAGTCAAAAAAAGTCAGCAAATGTCAGTTATCTCGGTCAGCAATCGAATGATCAATCTTCATAATTTATGCAACTGGCATTTCCATCTGTTTGCTTAATGGTCTGAACTTTAAAATTGTCAAGTTCGAGAATGTGTTTTTACGTACAGTGACGCGAACATTCAACAACGTGTTATATGTGATTTGAACTTATTATATTTTATTTACTTTTCAAAATTCTTAATAACTTGTTATATTTTATTTTTCTGTATTGATTAATATTCCTTTTGCTATATACTGAAAGATATGTATATTTCTAAAGATGCAATAAATAATTATTATTATATTATTCAACAACGTGTTGAACAGGAAGTCCATCTTGGGCTAGTGGCATTGTAAAATTTTAGAGAGTACAGGAAATGTTTCAGTAAGGAATTGTTATGCATATGAAAATCCTTTATTGGAACAGAACATGTTATATATTCCCCCAAAACAACGTTGCTATGTTTCTAGGATTACAACAAATTTGAAACAAAAGAAATCGTCTGATCCAAAACGACCTGCATCCTTGAGAATCTAGTCTTATCACCTTTGCCTTTTGAGCGAAAAAAGGTTGAGGCCAAAAACAGGATAGGGTATTTACCAAATCCAAAATTTAGCGTGAATACCTGCTACCTCAATTAGATTAAGTGATCGAAGGTAAAAACAGTGTTTACGCTAGTGCAAATCTTGAACGTACTTTAGTGGAAATACATTTTTGCCTATCACGGCAAACGCAATTCAATGCGAGTGAATTTCCCTAGTTGTAACTGGTGTCCAACATATGCAAATTAGCTTTAGTTGAAAATTTGTCTGAGTTTTCTTGTCGACAGCTACGTGAATTTGAACCAAAATGTTATCGGCAAGACTAAGAGTACGAAGCGACAGCCACTGAAACGTTATTGAAGGCAAATGAACACGCCAGGCAAAAAAAAGACTGTATGAGTCGTGGCGTACAATGGAGGCACATACCATTTTGACTCTTGAGGGGAATGGAAATCAGTTGATTTGAGGGTGTCACAATAAGCGAGGTAGTAAATCATTTTTATGCTACGAAAAAATGCAGGCCTTGAACGTACTTTTTGGACTTTAGTACAACGTAATTTTTGTTTCATTACCTAACGTTTTTAGGTCAATGTGCTGCAATTTACAGAGCACATACCTAAGCGGCCGTCCCACAGCAAATAATGAAGCAAAGGCATTTTCGATGCGGAAATCGGGAAACTCACCCTTTTTACGCAAACTGGGAAGTTCAAATTACTAAACGAAGTACAGGACGACGAAGATGAAATATCCAAGAACCAACACATACCAAAAATTATATCTCAAAAGTGAATATTCGTGGTGTATTTTAAGTCTAACCGGACCATACATGCTAATGTGCTAGTACTCTAATTATTCAAACATATTTTAGTATTAGGTAGTAACAAATCATGCCCCTTTCCCATCAAAATTCAAGCCAAAAGATCGTACAACAACATCCGCAAATCTCTTCCGTGCTGTACTCAATAACATTAACATATTTAAATGAGCTATGGTAATTTAAACCTGTTGGCATCATCCACCGTTTTCATTGGTCAATTAGCGATTTGACCTGTAAGGTCAAAGAACACCGTTCCAGGTCAACATGGCGGATATTCATTTGCGACTGGAATCATTCACTTACGATGAAATAAGTTTATTTGCATTTCATAACAATTCAACAATTTATTTTCGGCTTGTTATTATAATCATTACTCAGTAATATTCAACAACTGTGAAATGCAGCAAGATCGGATTGCGCTACTGCAATCATTTGCTACTAAGCAATGCAGTTGTGTTCGTTTTTATTTGAAACTTCTCTTTAGAATAGAATATATTTTTGTTACTAATAAAATGAAAAAATAAATTTATTTGGCGCACAGAGATCGTTGATGTGATTTTTTGGAGAAAGATGCACTGGGTGACATTGTAATAACATTTTAGGCGGTCTACTTTTCAGTCCAGCAAAAAAAAATAATGTATCAAATCTTAGATTAGCTTCTGCAATAGTTTTTTCGGTTGGGTGAATTTACGGCAGAATCCGGTATATTGGGAACACTTTATTCATATTAATTTTTGATTAGTTTTGTTTTCGCTTTTTTATTTACATGGCGTGAATCCTTGGCTGTCTATATAAACTGTGATTCAATGTAATTCTTTAGTTATTTCAACCTGATGCTCTATGATGCATGTCAAATTCCCGAATAAAGAGTATTCTTTGCTGCAGAATACTGTCTCGTAACTGCGTAGTATATATACACTACCAGACTCGTTATAATACAAATCCTGTCTTCTATTGTAATATCCAACCACAATCTAGTTATGTTTTCATACCAAAAATGTATTTTACATGATTAATTGACTCTTGTAATTTTCAGGAAATACCCAAATATTATTAAAATCTTATGTTGGTATTGCTATTTCTCTTAAACATCCTACTATATCTGATACAAAATATAATTCACTTACCAATTTTATTTTTTCTCTTTCTACACTACTTGGATCAACATCAATGCTTGGACATTGAGAATCATCAGCAATCCATCTATTGGTGGATGAATCTGGGTAACCCTCACAATCACTTTTTCTTGTGCACCTACCAAGAAAAAAACAAAAGTATCTCTCAAATAGACTGAAGAGGGCATCAATTCTGAAAAAAAAAGATTCCAACTGAGAATGAGAAATGCCGTAATGACCAACATATAAGGGTAAAACTACAAACCTATTTTCCAGTGTACACCAACCACAGTAAGGATCACCCACGCCATCTACTCCAAGACATTCATCACATGTTGTATATTTCTCACAGTTCTCCACTGGCACTTTAGTTATCTGAAACAGATATAAAGTTTATACTGTACACAGTACGATCAATTTTGATTTCATTGAAAAACTGATCATGTGTCAATGGAGATGGTTTCTACAAGCAAGCAAGAGGTAGAGGGTATGTTTACATTGGGCCATTCCAGTTTATATCTGCACCCCCCTGTTGATGAGCTTGTGTGTTTACTTTATCCAGAGGGTGTATAAGTCATACAAAGTTTTATTTCCAAATCACCATTCACCATACAGTAATGGAAATCCAAAACTATAGTTCCTACTTATGGTGTTGAGTTCTTTTGTGCCACCATACAGAGTAAGATTTCCAAATATAACTCTCATCATATGCTAATTTAAAGTTAAAAAAAGATATACAATGTTCAATACTGAGTATGATTAGACCCCTATTCTAGAGCAACGAGAGATCCAGTAAACCAGCATATTTCACTGTTAGGAGACTGAAAGCTTGTTCATTTTTTTGGCAATTTTAACTATAAAAATCATAGTAGTGATTGCAAGCCAAATGTATAGTGATTACTTGAGCACTGGTATTTCTGCCCATGGTGCTTTGTGAAGGTCTTTAGGAAGTTGTAAACTCATACTTAATGAGGCAATGATATTATTACATTAGACAGTAACTACTCATTCTGCAGTTAGAAATCTACAAAAAGACATCTACATTTACAAAAAGGTATTTCTTTTTTCTATAGATTTCAGATACCCATGATTTTTTTCACAGGTTAAGATAAAAGATATATTTAAGTTCGGATATAGAATTAATTAACAGTTATGAATTCAATTGCAAAATGACAAGATTGTGGCTTAGTGTAATCTATTTGCTAAAGCTTACAACTACCAAGACTAGAATAGCAAATAATGAATTCTGCAACTAACAAATGCATCCTCTGTTAGAACCGGTAAAAGTGATTTAGATTTTTCAACATGTTATATTTTCAAAAATTTTCAACATTATATAAACAGTAGTACATGTACATATACCTAAATTAGTCTGTTTTTACAACATCAATTCAGTAGTTTTTGAAAAAACAATCAATTCAGTAGTTTCCTAAAATAGGTTACATACATATACAATTTGGAAAAAATGCGATATGGCTGTTGTGGGCTTGTTAGATGTTTCCAAACGCTTACGTAATAGAAAGTGATGCAACAAGATTTGCTACAGGAGACATCATTCTATTCCGTTTGTTGTTTCCAAAGTTGTCTGTCTCTGTATTCGTTAGTGTCTTTACTATATCTAGTTTAAAAATATCTTTGTCCAGTTCAATAGATTCATAATGAAAAATAAGTTATTATTTATTTATTTATTTATTTATTTATATAAGTTTGTTTGACTAAGCTGAAGCCAATTTCAAACTGTCTAGCAATGGATAAGGTAGTGTTGATTGGTGTCATACTTTAGACATTTAACACACATGTATGTGGAGATAAAAAGCTGCATCAATATTGTTACCATATGGCATCTTGCATAAACATGCCTAACTGTGAGGTACAGATTACAAAAACATACATTTCAACAGTTTGCCTTGGAAACACAGAAGACATAAAAACTGAGGCTCTAAAATACAAAATCCATTAAAGGCATAGCAATTCACAAGATGCCAAAGCACAAACTAGCTATTCACCAAGGCACAAACATTCACATGATGGCAGTGCTGAAACATTCAAATGATGGCAGGGCTCAAACATTCACATGATGGCAAGGCTCAAACATTTAAATGATGGCAGGGCTCAAACATTCACATGATGGCAGGGCTCAAACATTTACATGATGGCAGGGCTCAAACATTTACATGATGGCAGGGCACAAACATTTACATGATGGCAGGGCACACACATTCATATGATGGCAGGGCTCAAACATTCACATGATGGCAGGGCACAAACATTTACATGATGGAAAGGCACAAACATTTACATGATGGCAGGGCACAAACATTTACATGATGGCAGGGCACAAACATTTACATGATGGCAGGGCACAAACATTTACATGATGGCAGGGCACAAACATTTACATGATGGCAGGGCACAAACATTTATATGATGGCAGGACACAAACATTTACATGATGGCAGGTCACAAACATTTACATAATGGCAGGGCACAAACATTCATATGGTGGCAGAGCTCAAACATATACATGATGTCAGGGCACAAACATTTACATGATGGCAGGGCTCAAACATTTACATGATGGCAGGGCACACAAATTTACATAATGGCAGGGCACAAACATTTACATAATGGCAGGGCACAAACATTCATATGGTGGCAGAGCCCAAACATATACATGATGTCAGGGCACAAACATTTACATGATGGCAGGGCTCAAACATTTACATGATGGCAGGGCACACACATTTACATAATGGCAGGGCACAACAATTTACATGACGGCAGGGCACAAAAATATACATGATGGTAGGGCTCAAACATTCATATGATGGCAGGGCACAAACATTCACATGATGGTAGGGCACAAACATTTA